AATATGCTCATTTTGTTTAACCAAGACCATAAATATTACAGTGCAGCTAAAACAGGAAATGAACAAGGAATCTTGGGTTTCTAAATCTCCAAAAGAGCCAGCTGTGAAGTTCTCTGGGTTTTCTAGGCTGGAGATGCTGAAAGAGAGAAAGGGCTTCCCAAGTGTAATGAGGGCACCTTTCCTCGTATCCTGAAAGGGGCCCCCCACCCTTCTCCTGTAAGCAGAAAATGGATTTCGCCAAGTGAGGCCTGGATTCTGGACCAGATTGGGCTTCAGGTGGAGGGTAGGGGGGCTGAAGTCAGTGATAGGGACATCAAGAAATAGTAAAGAAGCATAATTTCCAGGTATGCATTCTTTAGAATTCTGAATTGACACTGGCTTTGTAAATTCCCAGTGTTGTGGTTTAATACTTCTATTTGATGAGGCCATCCACCTGTGGTATTTCTGTTATAAGAGTATGAGATAACGAAGATAGAGCTTATTTTGAATTTTAAATTTAGGGAAGCTTACAGTCCTCTCAAGAACTGCTATGGTTAGTTTGCTGACTGGCTTCAACTTGAACCAAACTCCCTGCTGAAATGACTGTGGTGTTTCTAAATGTATCACACCTGCGGGCAGATTCTGGCTTTGGTTGTTGGAATGAAAGAAGGAGGCAACTACCCACTAAGAGACCGGGGTCAGCAATTTTGTCTGAGAAGGGGTGGAGGTGGTGGCCGCCCAATGCCCCCCGGTGAGCCAGGCGTCACAGGGCCTGTTAGATCCTGCTGCCACTGACCACTCAACTACTTCGGGCAAGTGCTGTATGTAATCTGAGCTCATTTACATCATTAGTAAACACTACTTACCTTTTAAAAGAAAAGACAATGGGAAAACAGGCAGTGGTAAAGTCAGTGTGAATTGCTTTGAAGGAGGAAGTTTGAAAATATGCATCAAAGTTTTAAAGTCAGCATACCCTTTGTTTTAGCAATTCCACTTCTGGGAAGTCAACCTTCGGGAACAATCCAAAATTGTACAAAGGTGTCTTTACCAGGCTTTTCCCTGAAGGGTTGAATGTTTTTAACAGTGAAAAATCTGGAACAATAGTATCGATCCAAAGGACATTGGTTACATGAATTCCAGTCCATCATTCGATTGAAGACTCACCAGCCATTAAATGATGTGTAGATTTGTATTTATTGATATGTAAGGCTACGCGGTAGGCCAAATTCTAAGATGGGCCCCAAGATTTCTTGCCATCAGGGCCGTATTAAGGCATGTGAGGGCCCTAAACACTGATAATCTGTGGTGCCCCCCTTCTGCTTACTCACGACTGGACCAATAAGCAAAATCATGATAAACAGAAAATATTGAAGATGCCAAGGATTTCATTTTGCTTGGATCCACAATCAACGCCCATGGAAGCAGCAGTGAAGAAATCAAACGACACATTGCACTGTGCACATCTGCTGCAAAAGCCCTCTTTAAAGTGTTAAAAAAGCAAAGATGTCACTTTGAGGACTAAGGTGCACCTGACCCAAGCCATGGTATTTTCGATTGCCTCATATACATGCAAAAACTGGACAATGAGTAAGGAAGACCAAAGAAGAATTGATGCCTTTGTATTATGGTGTTGGCAAAGAATACTGAATATACCATGGACTGCCAGAAGAATGCACAAATCTGTCTTGGAAGAAGTACAGCCTAAACGCTCCTTGGAAGCAAGGATGGCGAGACTTCACTCACATCCTTTGGACATGTTTTCAGGAGGGACCAGTCCCTGGAGAAGGACATCATGTCTGGTATAGTAGAGGGTCAGATAAAAAGAGGAAGACCCTCAACAAGATGGATTGACACAGTGGCTGCAACAATGGGCTCAAGCATAACAATGATTATGAGGATGGTGCAGGACCGGGCAGTGTTTCATTCTGTTTTACATAGGGCCACTATGAGTTGGAACTGACTAAAGGCACCTATCACCACCACCACCACCACCACATACACACACACATGTATATGTGTGTGTGTGTGTGTGTGATAACAATAACAATTTCTGAAAAGAAAGTCAGTCTGAAGGGAAATGGAAAATAAAATACATCTAAATAATTTTTATTATCTAAATACTCATTTAATTTATTTCCTCGAGGAATTGTTCGATTTCCTTATTCTGATAAAATGTAAATATAATGTTCTGATAAACGCCTTTTGTTGCTTTCTTGGAAGATGAATTTAGAAACACACTCATTTTTGCAAAACAGAAACATATTTTGCATGATAAATACTGAATTTTGTGTCTTCTTAATGTACCTACTACCTTGTTTATTAGCACATATAGAGTAATATCGAGCATTGTGTCCCACACAACAGATAATAAAAACGAAACTCACTTGGTACATAAATTAAAACTTTTTGTGTTAGATAAATATTAACACTTCCAGTATTTTTTGAACATTTGCTATGTTACTATACTATTACCCGTGTTAGTATTACATTAAGTATATGCTAGATTGTGTCCATGTGTATGCCAAACATATTTTAAAGTTTTAAATATTATTGTTTACAAAACTGAGGACATAACTCTGTACATAAATGGTATACAGTTTAAAAAGTAACTTGACTGAATTCATTGCAATGGTTGACTTATTTGAATTCCATGAGACTGGAGTTCCCATTGGTTGTTGGCCAAGACATGTGTAAGAGCATACCCTTGTGTTTGTATCATAGCAACGAGCATTGCTGGCCCTCCTAGCTGGAGTTGCTGAATCAGCAGACATGGATATGTACAAGATGTTTCTCTCAAAATGGATTAGAGACCTGTTACTATTAATATAATTTGTCCTTGCCCAGTAACCACTCATGCTGGATCCAATTGCATACTGGGTGAATGTAGCAAGAGTTAGAGTCGACAGCCCACCCCCACCTCGTTTATTAGAAACAGTATACTCCCAAGAGACCTGCCAAGATGAGGAGTTTCAGTGACACAGGAGGGGACTGTAGGAGACAGACGTAAGTGAAGGTGTTGAAGTTGTAGGGCCTCATAGCTTAAACAGCCTTGCACGTGGGCGCACTTGTGACCCTGCATGAACTTTATTTCCAGCTGGCACATTCTCTTGAACTGGAGCTGGTATCAGTTTCATTTAGTGGCCTGCCAGTTCCCTTCCAATGCTGCACTCACTTTTCCTTGTGTCTTGTCTGCTTGGCATCTGCGGGCCTTTGCTTTGGACAACTGGTGCCCATTTTGTTGATGCCCTAAGCACGTCCTTACCTTGCTTATTGGGTAATCATCCCTGCTTGCCATAATCACTGAGACAATGAATATGATGGGCGTCCCTGGGTGGCACAGATGGCTAAGTGCTTGACTATTAGCTGAAAGGTTGGTGGTTCAAACCCACCCAGCGGCATCTCAGAAGACAGGCCCGGTGATCTGCTTCAGAAAGCCCACAGCCTTGAAAACCCTATGGAGCAGTTCTACTCTGCACACATGGGGTAGCCATGAGTCAGAATTGACTCGGTGGCAATTAACAACTGTAACGACTCCTGTGATTATGTTCCTTTACGTGGTAAAAGTGACTTTTCAGATGAGGTTACGGTTACTAATCGCCTGGTTAGTAAATATGGAAATTATCTGAATGGGTCTGACCTAATCACATGAGCCCTTTAAAAGCAGAACTTTTTCTGGCTGTGGCATAAGCAGGAGCAGAGATCTGAAGCATGCTGCTGGCTTGAAGATGGAAGGGGTCAGGTGGAAAGGACTTGAGAGCCACCCCGGCCAAGTGCCAGTGAGAAGACGGGAACCTCAGCCACACAGCTGCAGAGAACTGGATTCTACCAACAGTAAGAATGAATGTGGAAGAGGATTTCTCCCCAGAGCTCCGGATGAGAATTCAAGCTGAACAACACCTTGATTTCTGCCTGTGAGAAGCCAGAGAACCCAGCCGTGCCGTGGCAGACTTCCGACCCACAGAACTGGGAGCTAATAAATGGGTGCTGTGGTATTTGTTACACAGCAACAGACAACTAGGAGCACACGGTTAATGCACTCAGCTGCTAACCAAAAGACTGGAGGTTCCAGTTTACCTAGAGGTATCTCTGAAGAAACGCCTGGTGATCTACTTCTGAAATACCAGCTATTGAAAACCCTACGGAGCACAGTTCTACTCTGACACACGTGGGGTTACCATGAGTTGGAATCAACTCTACGGCAACCGCTGGTGGTGGTGGTTATAATAAGATCCCACTCTGGAATATATTACATGCACAGACACAGGAAAATATCTCAAAAGATGGATAATAAAATGCTGATGGTAGTTATTACTGGGGAGTGAGAGAGTGAGTGGTCTTTATTTACTTTACTCTTTATACTTTCTGGGATTATCTGAAAAATTAAAAATGAGCACGTATGACTTTAGTAGTCAGATGGAAAAATAAAGTTTTTAAAGGTAGGAAAGAAAATCATTAAAAAAGCATATCCTAAGTGTCTCACAGGGCAATAGCAGATTTAAATTATGTAACAGCTAAGCATGTGTTTCTATAAATTGTGTAGTATTATCGAAATACAATGTAGTACATTTTTCTAAGTCCATGATCTCCCCTTCTTACTTAGAATAGATTGGTCTGATTCCTTGAGGTATGTTTAATTTCAGAATTTTATTTTAAAAGGATTTGTGTGGCATAACATAATGTCTGTTGTACCCTTACCAAAAGTCATTTATAATGGTCAGATTCTAACAATTTTACCACAAGCTCTCATTAATATTTCCTACAAATAGAAAAAGAATACATTATGTGCCATTTTAAACTTAATTTATTCCTTAAAATTTCAGAATATCATTGTAAAATGTTAGATTCAAAGAAAATTTGTGGGGAACCATAAAGCACCTACAGAGTCCTTTACAGTAAAATCCAAGATAAGAATAATTTTTACAGGTTGAAAATTTATCAAAAGATAAATGGATTATAAAAATACTTTGGCAATCTGATGGATTAAAGGTACTTTAAAAATTATATAATTAAATTATAGATACAACATATGTAATTACATCTAACCTGTAAGTCTAACACCACCCATCATTTCTTCTGGCCAAAACACAGAAATATTTTATCTGAAAAATCCACCGAGTAGTATTGATTAGTTTGATTTCTTCATAAAGATTCTTTTATAAGTTGGGCTAATCTCTGGAAAGCCTAAAATAGAAAAGAGATAAGAATTGATGAAATTAGGATGCTACTCTGCCATAATATCTGAAATGTAAACAAAGAGTACCCTTCTTAGGTTGAGATAAAGTAATGAAAAGTCAAGGTTAATGTCAGCTCTAAGTAGGGTGTCATCATATCCACTCACATACGTAGAAATAAGCATATAGATTTCCAGGGTTTGTTGTTGTTGGGCCCTCAAGATCATCTTTTTTTTTTCCTCCACAACACTAAATATTTTCAGAGAATCTTACAGAATTCTTACAGAATCTTATTATTTTATAGAATCTTTCTCCTGCTAATGCACTTTATATAGTTTCAACTGTCCATCTCTATTGATATATAAAACCTGAGTGAGCTTGTGAAAAGTGTTCTTAATGACACACGGAAGCGAGGGAAAAAAGCCCATATCAGAAAGGATCATCTCCAGGGATGAGCGCAAACTCTTCTCAAGATTAATGGCACTGTTCAACTTAGGGCTCTTCTGCTCGGATTCCCAGACACACAGTTCTTAGGATCTTGTTTATTTGCTTCTTGTTATTTCGGTGAAAGCTGGACTTTGTGATTACCAGTTCGCATTGACTCGACTCTGACGGTGGCCCCTGTGTGTGTGATAGAACTGTGCTCCACAGGGTTTCAATGGCTCAGTTTTTCACAAGTAGATCACCAGGTCTTCCTTCTGAGATGCCTTGTGGGGACTCGAACCTCCAGCCCTTTGGTCAGAAGCCGAGCACACTGACCATTTTCACTACCCAGGGACTCCTGACTTTGTGATTAACTTAACGATATTATTCTATTTAACCCTAGCTGATATTATTTTCTTCAGAGAAAGGACTGATGACAACCGAGAATTTGTACTTTTGGTCCACGCCTATTCCATGAGGAAGGAAGGAGAGATTTCTCCAGAACGTGTTGGTCATCTCCAACAGTGTAGCTTCTGAGAAATTATCCATGAAGACAGCAAAATTTAGCTCCAACTTGCTCTCATCATTTGTCTCTAGAAGTCTAGCAACAAAGTAAACTGTGTCTTTTCATGGTAGCTCATGACTTTTCAACTAATATCTGGTTTTTAGAAAACCAAAAAGACATTGATAATGTTGAACTCACAAAATGAACATATGCACCAAAACACAGAATTGATACCAGGTGTCACCTGAAGCGAATCCTGTACTTACCACATCCATCTGCTCTGGAGAAGCCAAAGAGAAGGACGCTCTAAAGTAAGGAGTCGGAGCTGAGCGATCAATGAAGAAAGCATATCCAGGTACCATTAATACCTAAGAGAGTTTATGGAAAATAAGTGGTTTACCACTAAAGAAAAACTCAAAGAAAACATAGATAAACCTGATCTTGGAGTGGGGAAGGGCTTTTTAAGTTTAAAAGCACAGTTGAAGAAACCACCACAGAAAAATCAGTTTCTATAAAAATTCTGTATATCATACAATAAAGAAAATTAAAAGTACCGAAAAGTTTATCAGAAAAATATTTACAACAAATATGGCAAATGCTACCTCTTCTCCATTTATACAAAATGCACAGAAACTGGTAAGAAAAAAACACTGAAATTGCAGCGTTAAGGGGTAAACGACAGCTTACAAGAGAAATACAAATGGTAATAAACGTGAATAAATGTTTCGCCTCACTAGAAAAGTGGTATCTATTTAAACAATGAGATAATGTTTTTAAGTTACCAAGTTTGGAAGTGACTTGTAAGCTGGCACCTGAAGGATAAGCAGGTATAGGCTTGGCCGAAAGAGGGAGAAGAGAATTTTAGGGAATAAATACAGCAGGTAAAAGCCCTGAGATGGGAAGAAAATTGGTGCATTCAAAGAACTAGAAGAAGGTAAAAATTATGGAAATAGTGGGAAGGGCTGAAAGCGTTAAGTGAGTGTGGCAGGGCAGCGTGTGGAGATGGAATAGTGGGAACAACTGTTACTCCTGGTGATGACTGTGGCAGAGACGGCTGGTTGCCAGCATGACTTCCTCTTCTTCCTGGCATGCAAATTTACTCTGTTCGTCCGCCTCCCTCTAGTCAGGTGTGGCCCTGTGACATACCCGAGCCAGCAGATGTGAGCAGAAGTCATATATGCTACGTCTAGGCCTGGCCATAAAAACCTTCCCCGTGTGACCCACCGTGCTCCTTCTGTTTTGCAGACCTTGGGATCCATGTGTTGAAGACTGAAGGGCAACTGGATGAATCACTGCCTGGAGCAGAGTTGCCTGCAGATCACATCTTTGAATTTTATATGAATCAGAAAGAAACTTTTATTGTGTTAAGCCTTTGAGATTTGGGGCTTTACCCTTTAAAGTAGTTAGTGTTAACTTGTATAATCATGATCTACAAAAGCATTAAGGAACTACTTGTTGTTACAATCTGGACACTGTCTGTCAAAACAGGGTGAGTTGGGAGTGAAATGATTTGGGACATTCTGGGGATAAGATTTCGAAGCAGAAGATGGATGTGCTTCTTTGTCCTGATTAACAATGAAATGAAAGCCATCATTTTCCCTCATAGAGAAGAAAAGTTTGGGGATGTACTAGAAGCACGGAGCAGGGAGGAAAGTGGTAATCTCTTTGTAAAATGACCAAAATCTGGGCTCAGTTAGTGGTCTTAAGGTTGGAGATTATTTAGAAAAAGCAAAGGCATAAGCAACAGGATTCTGGAATAAATGAAGAGAACTGAAAAAATTATAACAAAATACTAAGTTTACATCCATACAATCTAGCTCAGCGATACATGCAAATAGCCACTTACCAAATGACATCGATAGAAAAGCAAAGAGAGTATCAAATTGATTACATTACAATGTATTTCTCTGAAACAAGTTGGTTAAATATTAAGTACCTACTATGCGCTGTTAGGAAACCCTGGTGACACAGTGGGTAAGTGCTACGGCTGCTAACTAAAAGGTCGGCAGTTTGAATCCACCAGGCGCTCCTTGGAAACCCTATGGGGCAGTTCCACTCTAGCCTACAGGCTCGCTATGAGTTGGAATAGACATGATGGCAACGGGTTTGGTTTTCTTTTATGTGCTGTTATGAGTCAAAGTGACTCTATGGCCATGTGTTTGGTGTTTTTTTGGTGCTGTTACTAAGGAGCCCTGGTGAGGCAGTGGTTAAGCGCTCAGCTGCGAACCCAAAGGTTGGCAGTTTGAACCCACCAGCCACTCGGCGGGAGAAAGATGTGGCAGTCTGCTTTCGTAAAGACTACAGCCTTGGAAGGTCTGTGGGGCAGTTCTCCTCTGCCCTGTAGGGTCGCTGGGAGTCAGGACTGACTCAGTGGCAACTGGTATGTGCTGATACTAAAATTTCAACCATTCATAAAGCACAAGTCCTGCCCTCAAGTAAGATGGTTAGAGGACAACGACTTCCCCAAGGTAGCGCGGCCAGTCCTCACGTCCAGGCCGTCTGCCTCTGGGTCTAACCTCTCCACACCTCGTCTCTCACGCACTATGACGGCATTAGGCCATTGTCAACCTTCTCCAACACTGCTTAAAGACTGACTCTGGGAACAGATCTTAGTGCAGCAAATGGCTGAAAACGTGATAAAGGATTTAATTAATGAAGAAGGGATCATTTGTTTGGTAAACTGGGTATCAACACAGAAAAACATTTAGATTTTTCAGCTGTGTCATTTCTCCAAAGTGAATTCTAAGTAGATTTACCATCTATGTACAAAAGGAGAAAATAAAAATCTTACAAGAAATTTTCGTGGGTTAATTTTAAATAAAACAAAAAGTAGGATATAAAGTTTTCTATGTAATTTTAACCGTGTAAAATAATTGCATAGCAAAACTATTAGAAGAATATATACAAGCTCTTCTAGAAAATATACCACATATAGTCACAATATCTGGATGGTGAAATTACGGGCTGTTTTAAAATTTTTCTTTATGCTTTTATGTATTTTTCAAATTTGCTACTGTGAGAATACTTTACCTTCATGTTCAGGAAAAAATCTATTTTAAACACTGATAGTTACCACCTTTCAAGCATTTACTGTGTATCCTGTATTAGTCTAACTGACTGGCACATGTTAACTCATTTAATCATCCCGGTAACCCCATGAGAGAAGGATTCTTATTATCTCCATTGTACGGATGAGGCACAGAGAGGGTAAGTAACTTACCCCAAACCACACAGCTAATGAGGGGTAGAGTTGGGATTCAAACCCAAATCCAGAGACTGATTTTAATCACTAAGCTACTCAGGAGTCATAATGATATAAGGACTGTATTTCCATTAATGTAGACCAGCTGAATAATTCTGCACCCCAAAAATCTATTATGAATTTAACAATGAGATAACAAAAGTGACATTAAAACTTTATGCATTGGGGTGGTGGGCAATGAAAAGCACCTTTCTCCATTTTATTCAAATAAAGAATTACTTTAAAGAAAACAAGAATAAATTTTTTTAGAACTTCTTTTTTCTCTCTGTTTTACCTGATTCTTAATGGCTTTTTCTTCAATCAGTTGTTTGGTATCAGAAATGCCCTTAATTTTAATCCATAAAAACATTCCACCAGCAGGAACGTGCCACTCTGCCAAATCTGCAGACAAAAGAAGAGAATCACCATCTTCTGGGGCCGTTTTAGATGATACCAAATATATCTCTCATGACATTAGGGCAATTTCGGAAAAAGCTTCTACAATGATAGCACTTTAAAAACCATAATTTTGTAAGTTCTGAAAATTAATGTTCTGGCTTTTATTTCAAAGAGTGAGTGAGTTGGGGGTGAGAGGGAAAAAAGAGGGAAGGAAACTGAGCAGTTTATGTGTCTTTACAATTTTTGTCATGAAATCTAGTGTCTCTATTTCCTTTCCTTGCTTAGAACTACACCTCAGACAAATACGGCTGTTTGAACTTTAGAGGAGGACTCTTTAACTCTTTCTAGAATCTTCCAGTGTCTCAGTAAGTCCTATCATCTATGTAATAGTTTAGAAGTCCAATGGATTTGAATTTTTATCAGAACGTAATTAATTATGAAAAGAAGTACTTAAAATTTAAGAATTCCAGATGTATTTGTAGGCTTTATGTTTCATTAAGTATTAGGATAGAGAAATCAAGAAGGATGGATAATTATTTCAATTTTAATTACTATCTTTTTTTTAAAAAGAAAACTTGCTGCTGATTAACACTTTTTCTTCAACACTATTCAAAGCAGTAGAATCTTATAAACAAGATGATAATAAGGAGTTGAATTTTTTGGTTTCTATTATTCATAGGAAAAGCATTTTTGATATCCTTAAAACCATGTAATTCATTTGACTTTCTTCCATTATAGAAAATTAAATCTAAACCATTCTGCAATCAAATTAGCAATAGATAATATTAGACAAAAAATGAGGTGAATGATTAGAAGGCATGTAATGTGTAATGAGAGAATTTGACTTTAGATTGTCCTATTTTGTCTTTTTTAAGCATTTTATTGTTGTTTAGGTGAAAGTTTACAGAGCAAATCAGTTTCCCATTCAACAATTTATACACAGATTGTTTTGTGACATTGGTTGCAAACCCCTGAATGTGCCAGCACTCTCTCCGCTTCCTCCCTGGGTTCCCCGTGTCCATTCGCCCAGCTTTCCTGTCCCTATCGTCCTTCTGAACTTTGCTTTTGGGCAAATGCTGCCCTTTAGGTCTCGTCTGATTGTTCTGAGATGCACATTTCTTACTGGTGTTATTGTTCATTTACAGGCCTGTCTATTTTACGGCTATCGTGTGATCTCTGGAAGTGATTTCTGTTTCAAGTTTGAAAGTGTCCAAGGGCCATAGACTCGGGGGTTCCACCAGTCTCTATCAGACTTATAAGTCTGGTCTTATTTACCAGTTTGAATTTTATTCTACATTTCTCTCCCACTGTCCATGACCTACTATTGTGGTCCCGGTCAGAGCGGTCAGTAGTGGTAGCCGGGCCTATTTTGTCTTTTGAAACGGAGTATATTGCTTGTTTGAAAATTCTTCTTCTATTTGCGGAAAAATTTTGAAATAACCCTAAAACTTTTTGCATATAGACATCTTTGTCTTTAAGTTATTTCTGGTTGATTTTTAGACTATTTTTTTAAACCACAAATTCTTTGCAACAGATAGGTAAAAGAGAGGTTGGCAGAACTGTGTCAGAGTCTGCAGCCTGTTACTTCTGAGAGCATCTGCAGGATAACATTTTCTTGGCCAGAAGACGCCCGGGCTGTTGCTGTGTTCCCACTGGGACTATCAGCAGTATCATGCAGGGTTCACCACCTCTCATACAGCAGCTACTGCTCACCACAAGGACGTATGTGTGTCCCACTCACCACTTAACCACTTGTCTGCAGCTGCCAACAACGCATCCCTCTGCTTCCTGTAGAAATCAATAACCCTAGAAGAGGGAACAAGGAGAGGGATGTCTTCAGAACACTGACTGCAGGTACTAGAAAGCCTCTGGGGTCCAATTTATCAGGATTTGTTTTCTATTTTGGTTAAAATGTTGGAAGCTTGATAAGGGAACAGGACATGGTTGACTTGTCCATGGTAAACTTTCTATAATTGCATTTTTTCCTTTATTGTGGAATAATTAAAAAATGAAAACAGAGAAAGCAAAGTGCATTTCTAAGTAAAATACGGAGCCTAAAATCCAGTTCTAACAGAGTAGTGGGATCCGTCTTTTTGTTCCGTTCTCCAAAATAATCATTGTCATTAGGGCATAGGAGAACTCTCAGGATCAAAGAAAACACTGTTGAAATGATGAATCGCTGCTCTGGAAATAAGAACTTCCCATTTTTCCTTACTTCAGCATGGTCTAGGAAGTGTCACATTTCCATTTCTGAGGTCATTCATAACTTTAACCCACATACTGATTATTCAGGCAAGCTGTGTCCTCACTCATCTGTACTTGAGCCAATTCCTGTGTCCTGTGTCCCTCAGGGTAGACTGATTATTATTATTACATAAATACGCATGTGCATGAATGTGCATACTCATGGGCATACCCTCTAAACCAGTTAAATAAGTTAACCCTAACCTGGAGAGATTCCAGGTGATCTCAGTGTGGGTGGGGTCTGCTTTCAAACCAGACGCCCTCCACCCCAACCCTGCTGCTCCTGAGGAGACTGTGTGAGGAGCTGATAAAACACAAAGACTTTTGGCTTCTAATGGACCGTTCCTCTTGTCCATGGTGGGAGACTTGGGAAGGGAGGGCAGGAAAGGAACACTCTCTGTACTGTCCACTGGGCTCCTGTGTTGTTCAGAAGTGTTTTAACAAACGGTTCAATACCTAGCTACGTGAGCCAGGAAGCCCTCTTCTCCCCACTGGTGTAGAAGCTCTGATACCAGGAGCTAAAGAGATAAACCAATAACACACGTCATGGCTCAGTCCCTAGAATGGGTTTTCTGCCAGATGTAAAAGCAAATCACTCATGATTACATGGAATCCTCCATAAGAGGATATAACACACTGAACCTAGCTTTATGAATAGTCAGTGATTAATAATAAATGCTAATTAGCAACAATAATAATAACAAAATAAATACGTATACAATACTTGTTACATGCTAGGCACTATCCTAATACACTAATATACTTTAACGAATTTAATCTGCATAATAGCCTTATTAGGCAGGTTAGTATTTCTAGTTTACAGATGAGGAAACTGAGGCACAAGGGTTAACTTTCCCAAGGGCACACAGCAAGTGTCAGAGTCCAATTCAAAGTCAGATCATGTTATTAATTACCATACCACACTGCCACTCTAAATACAAAATATATAATACATATGGAAAGCTGTAAAATGTATTTGGGATTTCTTTATCTCCAAATACATTTTAGATCTGGAAGTTCTAAATACTATAAGCAGACAGTGAAGTTTTGTTGATAATACAAAAAATATGAACTAGTCCCCAAAATGGAAAACATAGAGAGATTCATGGGCATCTGCACTTTATGGAACGCACAGCATCAAACAGGTGCTCTATTCTACAAAGACTTTTCCATTCACATTGTGTTTTTCATTAAAAGTCCATCCTTAGGATCTGATTCTCAAGATTGCACTAGAGATGGACCCAATCATTTCTCAAAGCTTGTCAGGAAATTTGTACATTCTCAAAAATTAATTTTCCTTTATTTTAATTAAAATATATTCCAATCTGTGTCTTTAGGAGAGGTTAGTACATGTGTAGGGAAGAGAAACAATTAGTCATTGAACAAGTTTGCGATCCCAGCCCTCATTACAGATTCCAAGACAATGAAGCTAAAGTTATATTACTTCACCAAGCTCAGTTCCATTTTGTTCATTCAACAAAGTTTATATGGAGTTCCTAGGCCAGATGCTAGGGACACACAATGAAAAGATTCCCTTGACCATCAGGGAATTTGGTCTATGCCTCTAAATAACACCATGATAATTCAACTCTCATGTGCCTTTTAGAGTAAACAAATGTGGTATCTGGTCTTCTAATTAAGTCCGTATTGGAACTGAAGATTCAATATCAGTGGTTTTTCCTCCCTGCCACTATAACTCAACCTTACTTGCCAACATCTATTTTCTATTCTGGTTTGAAACAAAATTTCTATTTCTTAAATTATCCTTACCTGTGTAAAAGTGCTGGGGTGCAGTGTTGAAACTTGTGTGTGTAAAACAACTCGCTCTATGAAGGGTTTTGGACCTGTTAGAAACCCTATTCTCAACCTATACAAAAAGAGAAAAGGCATGCTTACATATTAACAACTAATGATCGTAGATCAACAGTATAAACAATCAGTACACATCTCTTTCCTGATTTCGTTAGCAAGAGAGTTGGGACCTAGGGAAGGAATCAATCTAGACAATTAACACATTCTAAAAAAACCACTTCCCATTTAAAATACAAATTTAAATTTCAGTGTACACTTACAATATAATGCAGTGCTGACCTAACATTTCCAACTGTGTTCTTTCATCTGTCAGTTGAAAACCTCATCAGTCCCACCCCAGCTTCAGATTAATGGCAAGTTAGTAGCTTTGACTCTAGTAGGTGAACAGAGGGAGAAAAGCTTGTGTTCATGTTAATAATCAAACTGGTGTTTTAAGGCAAGTGGAATACAAATATCTTAAATGAAAAATACTATGTGGACTAAAAGATACTGAGGTATAGTCTCTATCTCTTTCACGCAGAGCCTTAAGTTAGAGACAGGGGGCCTTACCCAGAGGAGAGGACTTTGGAAAAAGAGTCAGCTCTGATGACACGGCCATCAACATCCATGGAAAGAAATGTTGGTGCCCAGGACTTAAAATGGAGAAAGAAAATACTGTTGGTTTGAGAACTCTGCTAATCACTGTACAGACACTATGTATAGAGAGGAGAGGGCGTGGATTGGGATAAGACTAGCACAATTGTCTCTTCCATGCCCTTTATCTGAACCCTTTAAAAGGGAATATGAAACAGAGATGCACATTCTCTTATGAGCTTATGAGCATCTGCCTGTCTTCATGACTTCTGCCAAATACACACACACACACACACACACACACACACACACACACACACACACACCCCAGGAATTTCTCATTTGCTCAAGATGTCGTTGCTACGAATTTAGGGAAACCTCAAACAGTCCCTTCTTGCCCCAAGAATTGGAACCCAGGATTAACAGCTAGAGAGAAGGATCAAGAGAAACTAGTTTGGACAAGATCAAAATGAAGAAGGGCAGCAGCATGCAGGATAGTTTACAGAGATAGTGCTGATCCTCAGGACCAACTAGAAAGGTAAAAAAGATAAAGATGAAGATGGGAAATCTAGTCAGTGTGGAACACTGACTTCAGTATCTACTTCTGAAGTAGATGGAAATGCGAAACGGGCCGTGGTTGTGCTGAGGATGGAGGGTAGGTAGGCAGACGTGATACGCAAGCAAACTTAGAGAGAAACCAAGAGTTCTTGTTCCTTTTAACTAAATTTAAAGGGAGGACAGAATCCAAGTATATATTCTCTGCAATACTGAGAGCAAATAAAGATGGTGAATGCATGGTGTTGGATTTTGAGGAATCAGGCATTAGGAGTTGGCACCAGTACAGTGTCTACCAGGAAACAGCAATCATGAAAGGTGAGAAAAAATCTGCAAACCCATGTTCTGCAGACAAGATCCAGGAGGTAAAAGCCAAGGATGGCAGACGTGGGGAAGGCTGCCTGGAATGCCTTTCTCCTATCTCCCTGGTGGACATCATTCATGGGGCACAGCCCTTTCTCCTTCAGCTTGAACACAGCTTCCTAATCCTACTCTAGACATCATTTCCACAGCCACTACCCAGAGACGAACGGAGACACCCAAGATGAAACTCATTCGACATCCCCGGCATGATGTTTACGAGGCTATGGCTAGAATTTGGAGTTCAAGAAGACCATCAGCCCTGAAATGCATGGGACAGAGAGCCAGCTACTACTCTGAAGGTAAGTAATTTCTGGAAAGAGCAGTAACACCAAAAATGAAAAGTACAAATTCCTTAATAAAACCAACAGACTAAAAACTGAAGTGGAAGCAAACTAATATAAAGAGCCTGGGTGGTGCAAGTGGTTTGTACTCACCTGCTAAACCCGAGGGTTGGTGGTTCGAACCCAACCAGTGGCTCTGTGGAAGAAAGGCCTGGCAAATTGCTTCCATAAAGATTACAGCCTGGAAAACCTCATGGAGCAGTTCTACTTTGTAACACAGGGAGTCCTCAGGAGTCATGGGCTGACCTGACAGCAGCTAACATCAACGACAGCAAATTAATAATTATTTATTTAAATTCAATTTCAGAGTGGATTCGTTCTGACTTAGTGACCAAGCTAAAATCAAATATAGTACAATAATTGACAATTTATGTTGTTCACATCATCGCTTACCTTGCTGAACTGGAGAAAATAGTAAGGATCATCTTCTATTATGAGGAAGTCGTATTTTCTTGCCAGCTAAGAAAGTTAAAGTAATATATTTATTTCTTAAGAACCATCTAAAATTAGAATCATTTGGAATTACAATTTTTTTGACGTAGTCATTCATTCTTCACTCAACAAGTATCTACTAAAATTGATAAAGTAGAGGGTCCATGACAAAGAGGGAATCCCTCAACGAGACGGGTTGACACAACAGCCATAGCAATGAATTTAAATATACCAGTGATCCCGAAGGGGGTACAGGAACGGGACAGTGTGTCATTCTGTTAGACGGGAGGTCGCCGTGAGTCGGAGCTGACCTGACAGCGGCTAACACCGCCACTGTGCAGACAAGTGAGGGTAAAGAGATGAGTAAGACGCTAAAGACGCTTGTTCTCAAGGAATTTATGTGCGGTGTCTCCTGTAATGGGAGACAGGATGGACATGAGCCGATGGGTAACAAAGAGAAGAAAAGTAGAAGGCGGGGTTTTAGGTCCTAAGCAGATCATTAAAATGGCGTGACGTGTGAGAGAGAGAGACAGGGCAGCCATCTCAGGCTGCATCGTTAGGAAGCCCCTCCTGATGAGGTAAGGGTGGAGCTCAGAGCACAGGAAGGAGCCAGTTAAAATGGCGTGACGTGTGTGAGAGAGAGACAGGGCAGCCATCTCAGGCTGAATCGTTATGAAGCCCCTCCTGATGAGGTAAGGTTGGAGTTCAGAGCACAGCAAGGAGCCAGTTGAGCAAATATCAGGGAAGAGGGTTCTAGACTGAAGGAAGAGTGGGAGCAAAGGCACTAGGGTGAGAGAAGCAAATCTTGGCATGTTTAAGGGCTAGAAAGGTCAGCATGGCTGGAGCGAGTAGGCATGGCTGGAACAAAGATAACAGGAGGCTAGGTCAGAGGACAGAAGGCCACATCACTGAGCTTTGCACAGCAGATGAAGCAATGTGGATCTCATTCTAACTGCAGGGGAAGCTACTGGAGGACAGTGAACAGGGGATGGGGACACTGGCTTTACATTTTCCTTCCAGCAGGGAAGTTTCAGGTGCGGGGTGAAGAGTGACCTGTGAGATCAAGAGTGGAGTGCAGGAGAGGGGGCGTCAAGAGGCCCCTGCTGTGGGCAGTGAGAGAAGGCTGTGGCTCAGAGTCCGTAATGGATAGACTTGGTGACAAAGTCCATAGGAGGAGCTGAATGGGGCGGTGGGAGAGGAGAGAAGGAAAGAGGAATAACCCAAAGGTCGGCAGTTCAACTCCACCAGCTGCTCCTTGGAAACCCTATGGGGCGGTTCTACGCTGTTCTCTAGGGTTGCTATGAGTTGGAATCGACTCTGTGGCAACGGGTTTGCTTTTCTGGTTGTTTACTCACAGTGCGCTGTTTATAGAGATGAAGAATGTGGAGATGGAGAATGGGTGGGGTTGGGGAAAATCACGAGTTTTACTTTGGCCACATTAAGTCTGAAGTGCTACTGGACATCTACTGGGGATATCAAGTAGGAAGCTGGACACGGAAGTCTGGAATTCAGGGGCGAGGTGAGGGCTAGGCAATGTGGAACCATCACTCTGGAGATTGGAAGGTTTACCCATGGAAGTAGATGAGGCCGTTAGGGGTGGGGCGGGGGGGTATAAAGAGAAAACTCAGGACAGAGCCCTGGAGAGCGTGCAAAATAAGAATATGACAATATTGTGAATATATATACATATACACACATATACATGAAATCTTTCTTATGATTCCACTTTATGTGATTAGATTCCATATAGCTTAACATGTGTTTGGTAGTCATTTTAAAAAGCGGTTTGTAGTGAAGGGCTAGGGAGCAGAGTCAGGTGCATAAAAGAGACTTCACAAAAGCCACACATCTTATTTTTAAAAGATTTCTGCACTGCTCAGTATGTGTTCGGTACTTGTTTTCTTGATATTAATAGTGAGACGTTGGGCATCATAGTTGGGTACCTGAAAAAGAGATTTTATAGAAGCAGAATTCCTCCTATCTTAAAGATTTTCTTTGTAACCTAAGGCATCAAGGATGAGGAAGAAGAGACAAGTTAAAAACAGCCATAAAATAATGAAAGTCAAACCTGGGGTCAAATATTAAACAACCTCATAAAATTGAACACCAGGACAACAATATTTCTTTTATATAAAAACATCGATTAAGGGAAAAGGAAAAATCTCATCAATAGTTAAAAAGAATATAGTAACCTATTGTGTCTAAATATATTAGGATCCGTGGCATAGATGATTTCTTTTTATTAAAAATTATCTTCCACGAAGACAAAAGGTTAAGCAGATGAGAACTTGCACAGTATTCTTCTAAAACATTACAACGCAACAGGAACGTAGTCACATGACACGTTCTCATAAAATACCTTGTAGATTTCCTCTTTGCGCTCAGTTGTTAGTGAGGTTCCAGTAGGGTTGTTGCCATTTGGGACAGTGTAAAGAAATTTGGGGGTGTTTTTCTCGGGGTCCTGTGAATCTTCTGGTGTCCATTTAGAAAGTATTTCTTTGAGGGCATCTGGAATAATCCCAAATTCATCACTGGAAACGTTAATAATGTTACAGCCCATTGGCTGCAGCTGTTGAACACAAAGAAAAAGAAAACCCAAGATTCAGATATGATTATGAAATCTAAGTGCCACTGATTTCTCTGTTACTGAGAACGTTCTCATTTATTCCCTTAAACATACATGAACCTTCACTCAGCTCTAAGCTCTGGAGGGCAGAGGTTGTATGTTCTAATCCTTCTGTTCTCCTGGGGGAGATTCTGTTATCGGTCAAAAACACCCCCTGTTCCTTCTTAGAGGAAGAACCATACTTCTCCGCCTCACTGTGTCAGACTTGGCCACGTGTCCTGCCCTGGCCAATAAATCGTGAGCATAAGTGACGTGTGTCCTTTCCAAGCAGAAGCTTTATGACCCAGCTTGCAGCTGTCCTTGTCTCGTCTCCCTCTGCTCTAAGACCAACAGTGTTCCAGACAGAGGGTGGTTCCACCAACTCTGGGCTTGGAATGAAGATGACATGGAACAGAGATGAGCTGACTTGAGGCGGACATGGAGTGTGAGTCTGAGTGAGAAATAAACCTTTGTAGCTGTGACCACCGAGATATTGGGGTCATTTTCCACATAGCAGAACCTAGCCTCTTTTGACTGGATTATCTTCTTAATTATATTTAGAACTCGCTCACAAAACAAAAACAATCCATTGCCATCAAGTCGATTCAGACTCATGGTGACCCCTTGTGTGTCAGAGTAGAACTGTGCTCCATAGGGCTTTCAAAGGCTAATTTTTTTTTTTGCTTTAACATTCATTTTATTATCCTTCATATCCTATGTGAGATAACACTTTGATATGAAGTGGGTACATGATTTGTACAGAATTTGCTATAAATCAGAACGAGAGAGAAAACCAACACTAAAGTCTACATTTTAGAGTGTGATTAACATTTGATTCTGTCTTATAAAGAGATCATATTCCCCCCTCCAGACATGCAACTAGTAGAGAATGACGCAGGGCTTTCAGAAAAGAAAATCACAACTTGAGGGCTCGTTTGTCCTGGCGTCACTGCATTCAATCGTCAGTTGTGGGTTGCTTTCTTTCACCTCCTCCAACAGCTTCTGAATTTCCACATTAGACTGATCTATTGTCAACCTAAGTTTCTGTAAGAAGCCATTCTTTTGTTTTAAAGCTTCAAAGGGCAGTGTAACTCCACTCTGTCCCAAGATATTCTGGCCCAGGTCCAGACTTCCCAGGCTCTTATTGATGAGAGCTGATGCAAGATCCTGACAACACAGAGTCGTGATGGAACAGCCCCGGAGCACCAGTCTGTAGTTTACAGTCGGGGTAACTCAAGCCCTCACACAGAAGCTGCACCCCACCATCCCCAAGCTCATTCTTTGCCAAGGACAGGTGTGTAGGCTTCTGGTTGATGATTAAAGCAGAAGAGAGATCCTCGCAACTGGCTTCTGTAAGATGACAATTTTCCAATGATAATATCCGCAGAGAGCACCTTGGGTGTTTCAGAGCCATACACAGCAACTTCACATCCTCACCTGAGAGCTCATTGGCTGTGAGGTTCAGGCATGTCAGGGATTGGTTGATTTCGAGGGCTGAGATTATCCCATTCCTCAGTGGTAGCCAAACAAGATCCCAACCTCAGATACTGAAGGTTGCACTTGGTGTGTCTCAGGGCCTCACACAATAGCAGTAGCATCTTCTCACTGTGGATGCTTCCTTCCAGGATCAAGTGTGTTAGAGTCCTTTTACCAATGACAGCCAGACACAAGTCCCGATAAGCTTCAACAGGGGAGACGTTTTTAATTACCACCTTCTGGAGATTATAGGCGACACGGGTCATCTGCTCACAAAGAATCCTCACCGAGTGTCACTCAGGAAGCTGTGACTCACATCCAGAACGCTCAGATTCTCATTTGAGCTGACCACAGAGCAGAGGTCCACCCAGAGAGGAAGAAGGTGGTAATCATGCCAGGTCCTCTCAACCTGAGAGCCTGATTCCAAGGAAGTATCATTCTCCAGAAAGATCCCTTTTTCAACCTTCAATGACATTTTCTGCAAATTCTGACAATGCCTGAGGCATAAAGAAGCGTGTACAACGTCTGTTTCATTTTTCAACCTCCAGGACACTTCCTTGAAATGGGCCATTGCATCCTTCACAAACTCCTCCTCTGAGATTCATACAGAGAGTGAAAAACATCCTTCATGCTCATCACTGAGAAAGGTTTGTTCTCATCGGACTTCACTTTCCATCTTAGCAATTCCTGTTTGACCTCTTTTGACACTCGGCAGCCAAATGTTGTCTCCAGCTCCCTGGCTCTCTTTTCATTTGAGAGGCCAAATAAGAAGTATCCCACCTGGGTCAGGATGGGGTTCTTTAATCTTTCTTCCTTGAACAGCAGCTTCTGCACATCCCCAATGTTCCCCCTGTGGCTCTCCCTGTCTTCTTCCTCCTCCCTCCCCAGAACATAAAACATGGCAGCAAAGAACTGCTGGACACTGAGGTGGATGAAGGAGTAGCAGCCTTCACAGTCCTTGCCCTTCTGAAGGATATTCTTGTCCAGGAAAGGACAAAGTTCAGACTCCTTCACCCCAAGTCTCTTGAGGTCTTCTCCACCAAACACAGATGTCTGCGTCCATACACCCTCAGCTGTCAGGAGACACAGAGCCTTCACTGGGGCTTGGAGGCACCGACCCTGACAGCTGTCAGGTACCGGCATGAACTCGCTGCAGACGAAACGCAAGAACAGCGATGTGCTGGTTTGGCAAGTGGGTGTGGGGTCCTCTCCATTCTCCATCTGCAGCTTCAGACGAGTACAGACAATCCAGCACACCATGGGCGCTGAGCCCATGCTGAACAAGGCCGTATTGCTCCTCATCAAGTCTAAAGCTCTCAGGGCTTGGTCCTCATCTTGGAAGTGTTTCAAGAAATACTCCTCCCTGTCCACCTCCAAGAAGCCCTCCATTTCTATGAGGAGTCGCTGCTGCATCAAGAGCCAGAGCTCTCTCAGGGCCCAGGGTCGTGTGGTGATCAGGAGAGTTGCTCTGGGGAACATTTTCCTTGTCAGCAAACTACTCAAGAGGATGGGCACTGGCTTCTGCTTTTTCCAGTCACCACATATATCACGGATCAGTGCCCCAGGGGGGAATCTCAGTTCATCGAAGCCATCAGTGATGATCAGGATTCTCTGTGATTGGTCTAGCACCTCCAGAATGGCATCCTGCAACTCTGGACAGTCCTTGGAAATCAGCTCAGCACAAGAACACGGCCCCATCTGGTTGAGTTCCTTGCAGCTGAGATAGAAAGCATATCTGAATGTCTTTTTGAGGTTGTCCTCTGTCCACACCAGCATCACATTTTTGGCCAGTGTGGTTTTCCCAACACCAGTAGGCCCTTGCAGCACCACTGTGTGGGGCTTTAGCTTTGAAGACGTTTTGGGATTCAGGAATGGTATGAGCTTTTGGCTCCTCTGGATGATGCTGTAATGCCACTTGTTTCTGTCTCTGGGCCAAAATTTCTTCCTCCAGATGGAAGAATATTTCTCCATCGTGTTTGTGTGTTCCTTGTTTTTGTCTGGTTTTTCTACTTCCAAGTCCTCTTCTGTCTCTCCCAGATTCAGGTCATCTATTCTTTCCTCCTTTACTGTCTCAGACAAATCCATGAGCTTCATCTTCTCCAAAAGGGTCAGAGTCACAATCCTTATCCAATATTTTGGGGAGTTTTTTTAATCAGAATTTCTGCTAGTGTCTTGCTATTGGCCTCTTCCACCTCAGACCAGGGTGTCTGCTGAAGCTCTCCTTTCAAAGGCTAATTTTTGACAAGTAGATCTCCAGGCCTATCTTCCAAGGTGCCTCTGGGTAGACTCAAATGGCCAGCCTTTCCATTAGCAGAAGAGCATGTTAATTTTTTGCACCACCCAGAGACCTCTACTTTGTGTCCATCTTTATCCTAAAGTATGGTATAACCCAACTGAATCTAATCCTCAGCAGTGTGGTCTGAGCAGTGCACTGCAGAGCCTGACGGCCAGCTTCCTCACTCAGGATATTACAGTCCCATTAATTTAACACTGGATGGATAGTCCTAATTATGCCATATTAGTTTATGGTTATATTAAGTTGACATATAATATAGTTATACAAGAAATCAAATGACGTATGGCATTGGATGAAACTGCTGGGAAAAAAAAAAACTTCTTGAAAGTGTTAAAAAACAAACATGTCACTCTGAGGACTAAGCCATGGTGTTTTCAATTGCTTCATGCACGTGCAAATGCTAGACAATGAATAAGGAAGACTGAAGAAGAAGTAATGACTTTGAATTACGATGTTGCTGACGAATACTGAATAAACCATGGACTGCCAGAAGAAGGAGCAAATCTGTCTTGGAAGAAGTACAGCCAGTGTGCTCCTCAGAAGTGAGGATGGCAAGACTTCGTCTCAAGTACATTGGACATTATCAGGAGGGACCAGTCGCCAAAGAAGGACATCATGCTTGGTAAAGTAGAGGCTCAGAAAAAAAGAGGAAGGCCATCAGAGGGATGGACTGACACAGTGGTTGCAATAATGGGCTCAAACATAGCAACGATTGTGAGGATGGCACAGGACCGAGCAGAGTTTCGTTCTGTTGTACACAGGGTCACTATGAGTTGGAACCAACTCGAAGGCACCTAACAACAACAACAGTAGTACTTATGCTGATGGTAATAAAAGACGATAATAAAAAACTAAGATTTTGTAAATTAAGTCACATTTCAAGTAAAATATTAAGAAAACTGGACATGATTTTGCACAATGTAGTTTTAGCATCTACACATTTGGATTTCCAGTGCTGGGGGAATTAGCGCATCCCATGTGACTCCAATGGGAGAGGCCATCTGGAGCTTGCACCTGGTTTCCTCCAGCCTCTGTGCCTTTCCCTTTACTTGTCTTACTCTGTGCCCTTCCTGTAATGAACTGTAATTGTGAGTATAACAACCACCACCACAAAATGTACTCATACAGCATGAGGGTTCATTTAACGTATTATACGTACATCATTTAGAGTTCTCTTGTTTACTGATGGAAGATGCCATTTTATTTTCGGTGGACGGAGATAATTCTAAATGTGCAATCATTTCTTCTCATTTATTTTAAGAAAGAGAGGTACCTTTTGTAAAAATGGGTACTCACAGCTTGAAGTGTTCCTGAATAAACCGGTTCATTTACGATGACATTATCTCCAGGATTAATGAGCATTTCAAACACCTAACAAAAGAAGCCTAAGTTAGCTCAGACAGTATTGTTTCCCTCCTCAGAGATCCCTTTTTCAGTTTGAGCTCACTAGGATTCTAGGGCAGGGGTTCGCAAACTTCTTGTATAAACAGATAGTGAATATCGCCAGCACTGTGGGCCACGTTTTTCTTGCTCCTACTCAACTGTGCTGCTACAGTGGGACAGTAGCCACAGACAACATGGAGATGAACGGGCATGACTGGTTCCAATAACACTTTATTTACAAAATCAGAAGGGCTGGGTTTGACTCTGGAGCCATAGTTTGCCGACCCCTACTCTAGGGTAATGTGACAATCAACATAGCTGGTTTGGCTTCTAAGACTCATGTATTCCTTTCATTCCTTCTTTGAACATTTACTAAATGTCTACTATAAGCCAGGTGGGAGTCCCTGGGTGGTGCAAAGGATCAACATGCTTGCTGCCGACAGAAATGTTGGCCATTGGAATCTACTCAGAGGTGCCTCAGAAGAAAGGCCTGGAGGTCTACTTCTGAAAAACCATGCACTGAAAACCCTATGGAGTACAGTTCTACTCTGACACCCATGGGTCACCATGAGTTGGAGTCTCCTCAATGGCAACTTTTTTTTTTTTTTTTTTAATAAGCTAGGCCTGTGTATGGTACCGGAGAGAAAACTGTGAACAGAATTGACATGGTTTTTACCCTCACAGAACTAACAGTCCACTGAGAGAGGCAGGCACTAAACAAATAATCACCCAAATCAATGTTTAACTAAAAACAGAGGCGGGTGCTACAAAGTGTAGCCACACAGTGCTTTAGGAACTCATTGTAGAGGACCTTCCCTAGGCTGGGCCTTCAGGGAAGGCTTCCCTGAGGAGGAGATGGGTCAGTGTAAGGAGTGACAATGGCTACATCTTGAGGAACCAAAAGCATCCTGTGGCTTCAGGTAGATCATGAAACAGAGAGTGGACTGAGACCAGCCAGAAGTGGGCAGAGACCATACCAGGCAGGGACTTGGCCAAGGGAGGCCAGAATGAAGAGGGGGAGTCACATGACTAGATATGCATTCTGAAGAGATCACTCTGGCTGAAGTATGAAAGAATAAAAGGGAGAGGATACATGTGGAGAGATTTTTGGGGAAGTTACTGCCCAGTCCTGCTGACAGTTAAGGGTAGTTCTAACTAAGGTGATGATGTTGCAGTTGAAAGGAGTGAGGAAGAGGGTGTCACGGATGACTCGAGATTTCTGGCTATAGAACTAGACAGGTGAGGTGTCACTCACTGAAAATCAGCCAAAAAAAGTCCGTATCTGAGGGAGAAGATGATGAGTGCGGTTTAGGGTATGTTCAGTTTGAGGTGAACTAGGATGGTGTCTGGTGCACAGACGGACAAATGGATTTGGACATCCTGTGATGGTGTCTCGTGGACAGATGGACAAATGGATTTGGATATCCTGTGATGGTGACCAGTGGACAGATGGACAAATGGATTTGGACATCCTGTGATGGTGTCCAGTGGACAGATGGACAAATGGATTTGGACATCCTGTGATGGTGTCCAGTGGACAGATGGACAAATGGATTTGGACATCCTGTGATGGTGTCCAGTGGACAGATGGACAAATGGATTTGGACATCCTGGGATGGTGTATGGTGGACAGATGGACAAATGGACTTGGACGTCCTGGGATGGTGTATGGTGGAAAGATGGACAAATGGATTTGGACATCCTGGGATGTTGTCTGGTGGACAGATGGACAAATGGATTTGGATATCCTGGGATAGTGTATGGTGGACAGATGGAAATGGAGTTGGAAGTTAGAGGACCTTGGATGTTACTACCACGTGGCTGATCACATGGCTGTGAAGGAGGCCTCGGGAAAGTGCAGACTGAGGAGAGAAGAGGGTACAGGACAGAGCCTGGAGGGGCTCCAGTAACTAACAGCTGGATGGAGGAGCTGACAGTGCAGAGAAAGCAGGGCAAGCAGCTGAGGGAAGCCACACAGTGGGTGCCGGGGGGCCAGAGGACGAGAGTGCGTCAGCAAGGATGGGGAGCTCACCAGTGTACAAGGCGAGCCAGGGGATAAGAAGACAAGCGTGTGACACATCTCAGGACATTTTGCAGACAATTGATGCCTACTGACATCATTGATCCAGACAACAGATTTTTCCAGCCTAAATACAAGGGGTCTGCTATGACTAAGTCACATAATCACAGAACGACCCCTTCTTACCTTGTGATGTTCACAATCCCCAGTTCAAGCCTCCCCTTCCTATCATTTTAACAACTCACATCTCACGACAAACAGTTCTCAATGACTTTTGTTCCCTGGTCTGGCCTGGGGTGTTCATTTCACCTTTTCTTGATGAGCTTTTGGCATCCTAGGACAAACTGTGTCATTTTCTGAAAAGTTTCTAATTGATTCAGGCTTTACAGGTCATCCTGGGATCAAAGAAATCACTTGGGTGGCATGTGCCAATATCAATGCAGCAAATGAAAACCTAGTTACAGACATTTTCCATGTCAGTTAGGAGATGTGTGAATGTCAAATATTCTAAACGAAAAGGGAGGGCTGTTTATCATCTGGCGCTACTGATTAATAGATGTAGACAGAAACACAGGAGCCTAAAATGACACCCGTCCTGGAGAACAAAGTCGAAGAAAAATCAGACACAGATTCCGACCACGGCCTCTGTAGTAAGCATGCCTACTGTGAGTCAGAATTCCGCTCAATGCAGGGGATGCTCTGGGTTATGAATAAGCAAATGATTGATATATTTGGCCATCCATGCAATGTCCCTTCTTTGATGTGACTGAAGTTGTGACAGAAAAAGAAGAAAGGATAGTTAAGGGCCCTGGTGGTACAGTGGTTAAGAGCACAACTGCTAACCAGAAGGCCGGCAGTTCAAATCCACCAGCTGCTCTTTGGAAACCCTATGGGGCAGTTCTACTCTGTCCTATAGGGTCGCTATTGGTCAGAATCGACTCCATGGCAGTGGATCAGCCTGACTACTACACATTAACTTATTAAGTTTCATTCCTTATCCTTAACTGGTTCTCTTTTACTACCTCTAAACTTTCTTTTAACTCATTTCTTCTTTATTGTGTCTGTTTTTATAAAGTTCCATTTTACTGTTTCTGTATTATTACATAATCCTTTTATTTTTATTTAAGTTTTTTAGCTTACCTTTATACGTAAAGCAGAAAGCTCAGGCCTGTAGTTTCAGATCTGATAATAACCCCTGTTCTTAGTAAGGCCGTTCAGACTTCTTTGCCTGTGACGGCCTTCTCAATCTTCTGGATTAGTTCTATGATAGCCTTCCCAACTTTCTGTATTAATTCTATGACGGCCTTCCCAGTCTTCTGTATGAATTCTTTGATGGCCTTCCCAATCTTCTGTATTAGTTCTATGCTGGCTTCCCAACCTTCTGTATTAATTCTATGACGGCCTTCCCAACTTTCTGTATTAATTCTACGACGGCCTTCCCAGTCTTCTGTATTAATTCTATGACAGCCTTTCCAACCTTCTGTATTAGTTCTGTGATGGCCTCCCCAACCTTCTGTATTAGTTCTGTGATGGCCCTCCCAACCTTCTCTATTAATCTGTGATGGTCTTCCCAACCTTCTGTATTAATTCTTTGATGGCCTTCCCAACCTTCTGTATTAATTCTTTGACGGTCTTCCCAACCTTCTGTATTAACTCTATGACAGCCTTCCCAACTTTCTATATTAATTCTATGACGGCCTTTCCAACCTTCTGTATTAATTCTATGATGGCCTTTCCAACCTTCTGTGTTAGTTCTGTGATGGCCTCCCCAAACTTCTATATTAATTCTATGTTTCCTCCCCAAACAGGAGGCCCCACAGAAAGGTGAATTATTTTATAGACATAAAGGCTAGAGTTCGGAAAGAATAAGATACAGATACCACTTTCAGAATCGACATAGATAATTTGTAGAAATGGTATAGGGTAAGATATCACGGTCAGCAAGGGACAAATAAATTCCCTTTCCTTCATAGATTTAGGACTTAACCCCATCTGGCAGAAAGGGAGATATACAGATGGCAAAGGTCAAGTTAATTCCTCTTGCTGTGAGGGGTTTCTGTTGTGACCCATCAGACTTGCACTGACTGGTTTTCAGAAGTAGATTGCCAGTCCTCTCTTCCTACTCTGTCTTAGTCTGGAGGTTCTGCTGAAACCTGTCCACCATGAGTGGCCCTGCTGGTATTTGAAATGCCAGGGTATTCCACCAATCATGAAGAGGGCACAGGACCAGAAAACACTGTGTTCTGTTTATGCACAAGGTTGTTCCGAGTCAGGGCTGACCTGACGGTGACTGACAGCAACATGAAGGGTTATCTCTGAGCTTGTTCACTAATTCCCGTATTCACTGGTCAGAGATAACAAGAGTCTGCACAGTACATGTTTGTGATGCGGATTAAATGCAGATATTTCAGGTGCCGAGCAAAACGCCTGCCACAAAGCAAGTGTGCAGCAAATGTCAGCTAGTATTATCTCCTGTCAGAAAGAAGGGCTAAACTTTAACTACGACAAAACAAAATCACTGTTGGTGGCAGACAGTCTTTAGCATTTAAACTGCCAATACAAAATTCCTCCAAACAGCAGGAGAATTTGCTGAGTTCCTTAATACTCCGCAGTCAGTCCAGCCTGGCAGGCACATCAGGGGGCAGTGGCTGACAGCTGACTGCTGGGAGGATGCCTGGATGGAGTTTATCAAATGTCTTCCAATAGATGGTGTTGTGGGTTGTCTGTGCCCCCAAATAAGATATGTCTCGGTCCTTACCCCTGACACCTGTGAGCGTGACCTTGTTTGGTAACAGCGACTGCAGATGTAATCAGTTAACAATCGCTCATACTGGAGTAGACTTAGTCCCGTGTGACTACTGTCCTTATAACAGAAGACACACAGAGACAGATACAAAAAGGAAGTCCGCCATGTGAAAACAGAGGCAGAAACTGGAGTTATGCTGCCACAAGCCAAGGAATGCCAGGGACCACCAGAACCTACAAGAGACAAGCAGGAATCGTCCCCCAGTCTTCAGAGGGGGCACGGCCCTGCCAACACCCTCAGGTCAGACTTCCAGCCTCCAGGACTGTAACAAAGTGTGTTCTGTTGTTTTAAGCTACCAGGTT